TCTGCCGGGCATGGTGGCTCAAGCCTGTAATCCCAGCACTTTGGGAGGCCGAGGCGGGTGGATCACGAGGTCAAGAGATCGAGACCATCCTGGTCAACATGGTGAAACCCCGTCTCTACTAAAAATACAAAACGTTAGCTGGGCATGGTGGCACGTGCCTGTAATCCCAGCTACTCAGGAGGTTGAGGCAGGAGAATTGCCTGAACCCAGGAGGCGGAGGTTGCGGTGAGCTGAGATCGCTCCATTGCACCCCAGCCTGGGTAACAAGAGCGAAACTCCGTCTCAAAAAATAATAAAAAAATAAATAAAATTTAAAAAAATAAAAATAAAAATAAAGAGTTTTGAACAAAGAAGGTACAGACTCAAGCAAGCGCTAAAGACCCAGAGTGGCAGGAGCTGGAGCTTGACAGTGGCAGGCTGCTGAGGAAAGGAACCTACCTTTCTGGCTGGTTGAAGTCAGAGGTGGTGACACCCCTGCCCCAGGTGGCTGGAGATGGCGGCCAGGGCTGCTGAGGGCCTTAGCCCTTTCTCTCCTTCCACAGGCCCCGCCACTCAAAACGGCTATGGACCAGGTAGGAGTGGGGCTGCGGTTTGGGGAGGCCTAGAGCTGGGGCCCCAGGTTCCTCACCTGCTCCGTGTCTCTCCACCAGGCTATGTTGGGGGTGTGAAACCACAGAAACCAGGTGAGCCTTGCCCCGGCCTGTCCCTCTGCCTCCCCAAACCCTGAGCTCCCTCCCCTCATTCATACCTGCCTTGATCTATTCCCCCAGGATTATAGTATGGGACTGGGCTGGGAGCCCAGCCAGGTGAAGGGGATAGAGTTTGGGGTTCCAGGGTCCACATCTGGGTGGCCTTTTCCTTCCAGGGGTGGGACTGGTGAATGATGGAGAGGGGTGGGGGGGCATCTCCAGGATCACTGGCTTCTGGCTTGGTCTTGGAGGAGAGCTCTAGGCGCTGTGCCCCCAGCTTAGCTCAGCCCTCCCTCCCCGACAAGCCCCCCAGCTCAGAATGGCCACAGAGCAGGTCCTGAGAGGATGGAGGAGCTAGGGTCTCGATGCTGGGGTTCTGGGGTAGATGTGAGCTGGGGGCTCCTGGGTACCTTATCTGCTCCCCATTTTCCTGAAGTTTAGAAGGGGTGTGAAGGCAAAGGGGCCAGGTGAGCCTGAATCTCCCCTGAGCTTCTGTCCCTCCAGCTCTCAGAGCCCTCTTCCCCCTCTCATCCTCACCTCCATCTGTCCCCCACGATTCGGGAATGGGAGTGGGAATGGGCTGGGTGCTCAGCCAGGTGAGAGAGGTGGGGTTTGGGGTTCTGCCCCTGGGGTGTCCTCTTCCTGCCTCCCTCCCCAGTCTCACGGGGGTGCTGAGCTGCTGAATAACCGAGGGCAGCTGGGAGGAGGCCTCCAGAATTCCCTCACCTCTGCCTCAACCAAACCCCAAATCCCCACCCCACCCTCCTCTCCCCACAGTCTTGACAGCCCAGAATGGATTTGGATTTGGAGCAGGTAAGAGCAGGGGTAAGGAAGGACTCGGGGAAACTGTGGGTGGGGCCCCTGAGTCGCTCACGGGCCTCATATCTCCTCCAGGCCTTGGCGAAGTTGTAAAGCCTCTGAAGCCAGGTGAGCCCTGCCCTAGTCTGCCTTTCTATGCACGCACTCCTGAAGCCATAAGCACCTGGTTCATACTCCCTCTCCTTCTCCAGGATATGGGAAGATGCTGGGAGCAGGGGCCTTCCCTGGGGCCAGAACCCAGCCAGGTGATGACACCTGGGGCAGGAGCCCAGCCTTTTTTATTTTTTGAGACAGAGTCTTGCTCTGTCACCGAGGCTGGAGTGCAGTGGTGCAATCCCGGCTCACTGCAAACTCTGCCTGTCGGGTTCAAGTGATTCTCCTGCCTCAGCCTCCCGAGTAGCTAGGATTACAGGCACCTGACATCACACCCGGCTAATTTTTGTATTTTTTTTTTTTTTTAGCAGAAACGGGGTTTCACCATATTGGCCAGGTTGGTCTTGAACTCCTGACATCAGGTGACCTGCCCTTCTTGGCCACCCAAAGTGCTGGAATTACAGGTGTGAGCCACCATGCCCGGCCTATTTATTTATTTATTGAGATGGAGTCTTGCTCTGTCACCCAGGCTGGAGTGCAGTGGTGCAATCTCAGCTCACTGCAACCTCCGTCTGCTGGTTCAAGTGATTTTCCTGCCTCAGCCTCCTGAGTAGCTGGGGTTACAGGCACCCGCCACCATGTCTGGCTAATTTTTGTATTTTTAGTAGAGATGGGGTTTCACCATGTTGGCCAGGCTGGTCTTGAACTCCTGACCTCAGATGATCCACCCATCTCAGCCTCCCAAAGTGCTGGGATTACAAGCGTAAGCCACTGCACCCAGCCTAACCCAGGCTTCTTGGAGGGAATGGGGAACGCAGAGAGCGGCCACGGGACCAGGAGGACAGAGTGTGGGTCTGAAATGGGTGCCACTGGCTAGCCCGGTGTGGCTCCGCCTCCGTTTCTCTATGTAGGCCTGGGAAGGGGAGTGAAGCCTCAGAAGACAGGTGGGGGAGGGCTCTGGCCCTCCTGCCCTGTCTCTAGGGCTTCTCATAGCCAAGCTGCTTCCTCCTGATGCCCCCTCTGCATGCCGCCGTCTCACACCCACCCTGTCCCTCTCCCTCAGGTTATGGCCACAAAAATGGACTTGGAGTCCAGCCAGGTGAGGGCAGCTGGCCCTGGGGCCGGAGCGGTTAGGAAGTAGGGCGGGAGGAGAGAAGCCTGGGCCATGGGGACAAAGGGCTGGAGTCTGGAGGTAGGCAGTATTGGCTGGAGTTGACATCAGCCTCTCTGTCTCTCCCAGGTCTAGAAGCGGGCATGAAGCCTCAGGTGCCAGGTGAGGGGACTGCCGGCGTCTGTGGCCCCACCTCCCCTAGCCCATGGTGTTTGAGTTGGGTCTGCATGGGACTCCCAGGGGAGGGGTGACCCCTGCTTCATGAGTGAGGAGAGGTCTGTAGGAGCACAAAGGACTGCAGGGAGAGGAGGTGGGGGAGAGACCAAGGTCCCCTTCCTGGCCCCTGCCTCCCAGTGCCCCTCCGGCTCAGCCTTACCATGCTCCCCTTTCTGCCCCACAGGCCTGGTAGCTCCAAATGGCTATGGACCAGGTAGGGGCAGGGCTGGGGTTCCAGGAGGCCCAAGACAGAGACTCTGGGTCCCTCACCTGCTCCCTGTCTCTCGACCAGGCTCTGTGGGGGTCATGAAGCCCCAAAAGCCAGGTGAGCCCACCCGGCCTGTCCCTCTGCCTCCCCCAAACCCTGAGCTCCCTCCCTCATTCACACGCCACCTCAGCTCCATTGGGACTCAGGAGAGAGCTGGGAGCCCAGCCAGTAAGGGGGTGTGGAGGCGGCTGTCCCTGCCTCCCTTCCAGGCCTCCAGGGCAGGTGGGCACCAAACTGAGGGAGGAGGGGCAGCTCCAGGACTCCTGCTTTCTGACTTGGCTCTGAAGGGGGAGCCACAGGCCCTTTGCCCCAGCCTCAGCTAGAATCCCAAACCCCTGCTCACCCCTCCCTCCCCACAGGCCCCTCAGCCCAGAATGGCTACAGAACAGGTACTGGGGGGCTGGGGTTGCTGGGGTTACAGAGAAGAGGAGAGAGGTGAGGGCCTCTGAGGGTTCTCTTGGGGGCTCCTGCAGCCTTAGGGGGGTAGAGTCTGGAGTGGAGATGGCACAAGGTGGAGGGAGAGGCCCAGAGCTCCACTTCCTAAATTGGGAGGAATAGGGGGCCAGGCGCCAGCCCCCTTCTGCACCCCAGCCTCTCCCCATGCCGCTCCACAAGCCCCACAGTTCCCACTGGCCATGGACCAGGTAGGGGAGGTCGGCATGGGCACCAGGTGAGGGGGCAGATGCTGGATCTGGAAGAGGCCCCTTGTGAGGGGTGCGACATGGGTACCTCACCTGCTCCCATCTCTCCAGGCACTGGAGAGGGCATGAAACCTCAGAAGCCAGGTATGCCCTTTCCACCTCTGTCACTCTCCCTGCGTGCAGACACAGCCTACCCCCTCCACCCTTTTCCCCCCAAGCCGCACCCTGTCTCCCTAGGGTGCAAGAACAGGCTGGAGCTGGAGCCTTCCTATGGGAAGGAGCCCAGCCAGGTGAGGGAGGCGGGCGGGATCCGGGGCAGAGGGGAAGGGGGATGGGCTCCAAGGGGCAGAGTTGGGTATCAGGGAGGGATGGGGCGGGGTGGGGTCGGCCTGTCCGTCATTTTCCATGGGTGTCTGGCCTGGGAAGGGATCTGAAACCTCCAAAGCCGAGTTTCTCTCTGCCCCTCTTCCTGCTTCCTCTGAGGTCCCCAACTCCAAGCCCACCCTTATGCCCTGCTCTCCATCCCAGGATACACACCAGGGACCCAGCTGGGGCTCCTGTCAGGTGAGAAGTGAGGGCTAGGGAGATGAGCAGAGGAGAGAGGAGTTCACTACCCCCATGGGGTAGACCGGGGTCTGAACTGGCCTCTTTCTGCCTCTCCCCAGGCCTGCGAGAGAGCTTGAAGGCTTGGAAGCCAGGCACGTTGGGGAGCACCTCCCCACCCCCCTCTGCCCCGCACCTCCTTCTGCCTCTCAGCCCTTCCAGCCCCCACCCCCAGTGCTACCACGCTCATCTTTGCTTTCCCTCTCCAGGATATGGCCATGGAAATGGGCTGCGGGCCCAGCCAGGTGAGGCCACTGGGACTGGGGTGGGGGCCCAGGAGGGAGGGAGAGGGAGGCTGCTGGAAGATGGAGGGGCTCGAGGAGCCCCATCCCTGCCAGGTCCCTATGTCCCTCCGTCCCCTGCCGGGGTCCCCAGTCTCCCGAGCAGGGAATGGCCCGAGGGAGCTGGGCTTTCTCCAGCCTGGCTAATGTCCCCCTTAGGTGACAGGTCTGCCCTAGAAGCCACACAGGCCGGTGGCTTGGCCAGGCCAAGGCCTCCTAGGCAGCGTCAGTGAGGACTGGCCTGGAGTACACACCCACCCCTCCCCTCCTGCCCATCTTAGGTCCCTGCAGTTCGAGGGTCGCTCCACTGCTCCTCCCCAGGCTTCCCACTCCAGGGATCCCTTCGGACAGAGAGGGTGTCTGGGGCCTGAAATCCCAGCCTCCTTCCGCGGTACAGAATGGCAAGTTCCAAGGTGAGTGTGGAGTGGGAGTGCCTAGCTGCCATGTCTGGCTCTGTCCTGTCCTCTGACGCTGAGGCTCAGAGAGGGCAGTGACTTGTCACACAGTGATCTGCTGAGGAGAAGCCTGAACTCTGGCTCTGGGACCCCATGTGGTCCCCAGTATGGAAGCCCTTTCCATCCCTGCCCCATGGCAGCTGCAGCCCCCCAAGTCCTGGGCTGGGCTCACTCCTGCCCCAACTTTTCTCCATCCAGTGGAAGCTGAAATCTCAGAAAGCAGGTGTGAGTCTTTCTGCCCCCAGGCCCCACATCCCAGAGGCACAAACTCTCAACTAGGTCTATCCACCAGATCAGGGTCACGCCTTCATCAACCTTGTTCCCTAGGCTGCCTCAGCTATTCAGGCAACCTGAGGCCAGGAAGTCCCTCCCCGAGTTGCTTTTTTTTTTTTTTTTTTTTTTTTTTTGAGACAGTCTCGCTCTGTCTCCCAGGCTGGAGTGCACTGGTGCAATTTTGGCTCACTGCAAAATCAGCCTCCCAAGTAGTTGGCATTACAGGCATGCACCACCATACCTGGCTCATTTTTGTAATGTTCGTAGAGATAGGGTTTGGTCATGTTGGCCAGGCTAGTCTCAAACTCCTGACTTCAAGTGATCAGCCCATCTCAGCCTCCCAAAGTGCTGCAGTTACAGGTGTGAGCCACCGTGCCTGGCCTCTTGCTGCTCTCTAAGTTTCTTCTGGTTCCATTCCCTGTGGACAGGAAAATTCCTGCTTCCACTTCAGGGTCCCTATAGTCCATCTTTGGCCCCGAAGGAATCAGGGGAAGTCTGGGTCCTCCACACTGACCTCCATTCTCCTCACAGGGCACCAGCCTCCAAATGGCTATGGACCAGGAGCAGAACTGGGTGAGGAGGCCCTTCCTGGAGTTCCTCCCCTCCCTTCCTCTCCTCTTTCTTCTGCCACCCCAGGAAGAGGGGACGCCAAGGCTGTGGCTCTCTCTGACCCCCATCTCTGAGTCACAGTTTTCTCTCCCCCAGGTTTCAATGGCGGCCTCGAGCCACAGAAAATTGGTGAGTCCTCCTGGGCCCCTATGTTGGGCGGAAGCTGGCATCTCCCACATGCCTGAGTCAATCTGTCTGTCTGAATCCCGCTGTCTATGAGCAGGTCACCTGGCCCTCCTGATGCTGTCCCTGTTCCACTAGGCTGTCCCTAGCTCCTCTCCAATCTCTCTCCTGCAGGTTTTGGTTATGGGAATGGTGTCCTGGGAGCCAGGGTCTTCTCCGAGGCCCGCCTACAGCCAGGTGCCTGGGGAGCGGGGGCGGAGGTGGGAGCGTTGGGCTCAGAGGCCATAGCCCGGCCTCTGACACCCTCTTTCCTCCTCCAGGGTTCCCTGGGGCCAATGGCTTTAGGAATGGTGAGTCAGACCCAGGGGACAAAGTGCAGTGGGGCAGGGGAGCCAACAGCCCAGGGGCTAGGTGGGAATGACTGGAGTCTCTTGCAGGGGATGGGGTGAAAGCTCTGGTGTACCCCAAAGCCTCGGCTCCAGCCCCTGAAGGAAATGGTAAGAAATGAGCGCCGGGCGCGGTGGCTCAAGCCTGTAATCCCAGCACTTTGGGAGGCAGAGGCGGGTGGATCACGAGGTCAAAAGATCGAGACCATCCTGGTCAACATGGTGAAACCCCGTCTCTACAAAAATACAAAAAATTAGCTGGGCATGGTGGTGCGTGCCTGTAATCCCAACTACTCAGGAGGCTGAGGCAGGAGAATTGCCTGAACCCAGGAGGCGGAGGTTGCGGTGAGCCGAGATCGCGCCATTGCACTCCAGCCTGGGTAACATGAGTGAAACTCCGTCTCAAAAAAAAAAAAAAAAAAAAAAAAAAAAAAAAAGAAATGAGCGAGGCCACGCTTGGTGGCTCACGCCTGTAATCCCAACACTTTGGGAGGCCGAGGTGGATGTATCACAAGGTCAAGAGATCAAGACCATCCTGGCCAACACGGTGAAACCCTGTCTCTACTAAAAATACAAAAATTAGCTGGTGTGGTGGCATGCACCTGTGGTCACAGCTACTTAGGAGGCTGAGGCAGGAGAATCACTCGAACCCAGGAGGCGGAGGTTTCAGTGAGCCGAGATGGCGCCACTGCACTCCAGCCTGGTGGCAGAGCAAGACTTTGTCTCAAAAAAAAAAAAAAAAAAAGAAAAGAAAAGAAAAAAGAGCCGGGCACAGTGGCTTATAGCTGTAATCCCAGCACTTTGGGAGGCCGAGGCGGGTGGATCATGAAGTCAAAGATCGAGACCATCCTGGTCAACATGGTGAAACCCCGTCTCTACTAAAAATACAAAAATTAGCCGGGCATGGTGGCACGCACCTGTAGTCCCACCTATTCGGGAGGTTGAGGCAGGAGAATTGATTGAACCCAGGAGGCAAAGGTTGCGGTGAGCCAAGATCGCGCCATTGCACTCCAGCCTGGGTAACAAGAGCAAAACTCCGTCTCAAAAAAAAAAAGAAAGAAAGAAAAAGAAAAAAGAAATGGGCCTTCAGGGAGCAGAGCCAAGCCCAACATGGGCTAGGGGGACCTAGCTCTGGTGGGCAAGGGTGCCCATGCCAGCTCTCCTCCTACAGGACAGGCTAGGCTGCTGTGGGGCTCTTCCTGGCCCACCCTCCAGACCTGGGGGACTGGCTTGAAGCCTGGATATCAGGCAGGAGGCGAGTATGCTGAGGCCGGGAACCAGCCAGGTGAATGTGCTGGGGCCATCAGAGATGGCTTCAGGCAACTAGGCCCTGGGCCCTGGTTGACCCACAGCCCCGCAGAGATGGAGGGGATGGAATGAATGGGAAGAGGCCAGGAGGGCACAGGCAGGGAAGAGCAGGAAGGAATGGGGCTGGAGGAGAGGCCCAGAGCCTGGGACCCTGAGTGCCAGCCTGGACCCTGGACCGAAATGCGGAGGTGATAAAGCTGGGAATGTGGGCCATTGGGGAACCAGTTCCCCATATTCCATCCCTCTCCCCAGGGTCCCCTGGGAAGCTGAGCCCTGGGCCCTTCAGGGTGTGGGGGTCTCCCAGAGCCTGGGTGGAAGCTGGGGTGGATGGAAGCTCTCTGGTGACCCAAGTGCCCCTGGTCGTCTGTCTGTGCTGTAGGGGGCCCTGGGGTGAAGAGAGGCAGCACCGGATAGATGGGGAATGGCTACGGAGGTGAGGGAGGCGCAGTGGCCCAGCCGCCTGCCCAAAGGCCTCCCACGGTCACCCCTCCAACCCCATGGGGGGTGGCACCCAGCCCTCGGGAGGGATAGCAGCTTCTGCCACCTGTAGGTGACTGCTGAGCGACTGACCCCAGAGGCTCAGGTCCCTGGGAGGGAAGGAGGAGGCAAGGCCTCACTAGGGCCCCGCCCCTCCCTTGTCCCATCTCTACCTCTTCCCAGGCCGCTGCCCTCTGGGGAAATGCTGAGCATTGCAGGGCTCCTGCCGGTCCCGAGGACCTCTGCCTCATACCCTCGCCAGCCGCCAAGGAAGACAGACCCTCAGGCTTGGCCTCCAGTGCTGCCTGGCCTGGGTCTCCTCCCTAGAACCGCAAACATGCTTTCCTGCCTGCTTCCGCTTGCCATGCAAAGGGCTTGCTGACCAGGGTGGGATTGGCATGGGCAGGCCTGCAGCCACTACCCAGCACCTCATTCATTCATTCGACAAACATCCATGAGGCCACGTGCCAGGGACCATGTTCCCAGTGAGAGAAACCATGAGAAGAAAACAGACTCAATCAACGTCTGCCCTCAGGGAGGGCATCACTTGGTCACCTTGTAGTGGGGGAACTACATCCAGGCTGGGGAACTTAAGCATGGAATTGAACACTTCATTATTTGTGTTTTAATTTATAATCGATCTAATAAAGTTACTAGATAAAAACCTCATTTTCCTTAGCCTTTACAGTGGGCCTTCCGGAAACAGTATTGACTAATAATTTGGATGTAAAACTCACTTTCACATTCTTTGAAGAATGATCAATTAGATTATAAATTTCACAGCTTGGCCAGGCATGGTAGGTCACACCTGTAATTCCAGTATTTTGGGAGGCTGAAGCAGGATTGTTTGAGCCCACGAGTTCGAGACCAGCCTGGCCAATACAGTGAGACCCCATCTCTATAAAGAAATAAATAAGTCTTTCTCATATAAGCACTGTTAAAACATAAAAAAAGAAAAAAAAGAAATGGAAAAAAAAGAGAGAAATAAATAAGTGGCCGGGTTTGTAATCCCAGCACTTTGGGAGGCCGAGGTGGGTGGATCGTCTGAGGTCAGGAGTTTCAGACTAGCCTGACCAACATAGTGAAACCCATCTCTACTAAAAATACAAAAAATTAGCTGGGCGTGGTGGCGGGCTCCTGTAATCCCAGCTACTCGGGAGGCTGAGGCAGGAGAATCACTTGAACCTGGGAGGCGGAGTTTGCAGTGTGCTGAGATCTCGCCATTGCACTCCAGCCTGGGCAACAAGAGCAAGACTCCATCTCAAAAAAAAAAAAAAAGAGAAATAAATAAGTAAATAAAAACAAATATGAGGCCGGGCGCGGTGGCTCAAGCCTGTAATCCCAGCACTTTGGGAGGCCGAGGCGGGTGGATCACGAGGTCAAGAGATCAAGACCATCCTGGTCAACATGGTGAAACCTCGTCTCTACTAAAACTACAAAAAATTAGCTGGGCATGGTGGCACGTGCCTGTAGTCCCAGCTACTCAGGAGGCTGAGGCAGGAGAATTGCCTGAACCCAGGAGGCGGAGGTTACAGTGAGCCGAGATCGTGCCATTGCACTCCAGCCTGGGTAACAAGAGCGAAACTCAGTCTCAAAAAAAAAAATATATATATGAATTTCACAGCTCGACTTTCCCCTAAGTATTTAGCATGCCTTAAATGCCCAATTAACAAAATACCCTTAGATTTCTCAAACAACAATGAGACACATAACCAACTTGATTCTCTTAATGGAGCCAGGTACAAATCCAAAATCAGCATCTTCCTAAGCACTTATGGGGCTCTTGGAAATAAATAAATCAAACATTTAGTATATCAGATGACTGCTTTTTTTTTTTTTTTTTTTTTTTTTTGATGCAGGGTCTCACTCTGTCCCAGGCTGGAGTGTACTGGCGTGATCATGGTGATCATGGTCTCTCTCTCTCTCTCTCTCTCTCTCTCTCTCTCTCTCTCTCCCTCTCTCTCTCTCGCCTGCCTCAGTCTCCTGAGTAGCTGGAATTACAGGTGTGAGCCACCACCGTGGCTAATTTCTGTATTTTTGGTAGAGATGGGGTTTGACCATGTTGGTCAGGATAGTTTCGAACTCCTGACCTTGTGATCCGCCTGCCTCGGCCTCCCAAAGTGCTGGGATTACAGGCGTGATCCACCACACCTGGCCCGGCTGAACTCTTCCAAACTTCTTAAAAGCCAGTTACTAATTCTGGAGCAGTGTCAGTGCTACAGGACAGCTTAATTTTTTCACCCCATGATTACAAATGTATCGAACAGTACACACAGAGGCAGGGTCCAGAGTGGAGGTTGTGCAATTAGAAATTGACCCACAGTGCTGAACTTTGACTCAGAGCCTGGCCAGTCCAAGAACTTTTTTTTTTTTTTTTTTGAGATGGAGTTTCACACTGGTGCCCAGGCTGGAGTGCAATGTCACTATCTCGGCTCACTGCAACCTCCGTCTCTCAGGTTCACATGATTGTCCTGCCTAAGCCTCCTGAGTAGCTGGAATTACAGGCACATACTACCACATCTGGCCTTTTTTTTTTGTATTTTTAGTAGAGGTGGGGTTTCACTATGTTGGCCAGACTGGTCTCAAACTCCTGGCCTCATAATCCACCTGCCTCAGCCTCCCAAGATGCTGGGATTACAGGTGTGAGCTACTGAGCCTGGTCTTTTTATCTTTTCTTTTTTTTTTTTTTCCTGAGACTGTCTTGCTCTGTCACCCAGGCTGAAGTGCAGTGGCACAATCTCGGCTCACTACAACCTCTGCTTCCCAGGTTCAAGAGATTTTCTCTCCTCAGCCTCCCAAGTAAGCTGGGGTTACGGGTGCGTGCCACCACACCCAGCTATGTCTCAGAACTACTTTTACTTTCCTCTTTTCTTTTTTTTTTTTTTTTTTTTTTCTTTTTTTGAAGCAGGGTCTCTTGAGCATAGCTCACTGCAGTCCCAATCTCCCAGGCTCAAGTGACCCTCCTGCCTCACACCCCTGAGTTGCTGGTATCATAAGCACACGCCAACAGGCCTAGCTAATTTTTAAAATTTTTAGTAGAGAGGAGGTCTCACTGTTGCCCAGGCTGGTCTCAAACTCTAGCTCTAGCGACCCTCCCACCTGGACCTCACAAAGTGCTGGGATTACAGGGGTGAGCCACCGCACCTGGCTGAACCTTTCTCCCCTCTGAGCTGAGCCCTTCCAAATCCAAGCCTCTTCTTGCAAGCTAGTTCCTTGGGATCTGGCATTCCTATCTGGCACCACCTCTTCTTTTTTTTAGCCTGATTTATGATCACGGAATTTGGATGTAGACCAACACCTTACCTCAGTATGCACAAGGTTTTGGGTTGATTAACATTCATGAGATTCTGTAAATAGTATCGAAATTCCAGCCTGATTTTTCTTGCCTGCTTCATCTGATGTGCTCTATTGGAGAATCACACAATTTTGCTTTTTCACAGAATTACTGATTCTTTAAAAATATTCAGGGTCTTGGCCAGTCGCGGTGGCTCACGCCTGTAATCCCAGCACTTTGGGAGGCCAAGGCACACGGATCATCTGAGGTCAGGAGTTCGAGACCAGCCTGGCCAACATAGTGAAACTCTGTTTCTACTAAAAATACAAAAATTAACCAGGCATGGTGGAATATGCCTGTAGTTTCAGCTACTCAAGAGGCTGAGGCAAGAGAAGTGCTTGAACCTGTGACGGGGAGGTTGCAGTGAGCTGAGATCTTGCCACTGCACTCCAGCCTGGGCGAGAGGGAGACTTTGTCTCATAAATAAATAAACAAAAATGAAAAATAAGGCCTGGCGCAGTGGCTCACACCTGTAATCCCAGCACTTTGGGAGGCGAAGGCGGGTGGATCATGAGGTCAGGAGTTCGAGACCAGCCTGACCAACATGGTGAAACCCCTTCTCTACTAAAAATACAAAAATTAGCCAGGCGTGGTGGCATACGGCTCTAATCCCAGCTACTAAGGAAGCTGAGGCAGGAGAATCACTTGAACCTGGGAAGCAGAAATTGCAGCGAGCCAAGATCCCACCATTGCATTCCAGCCTGGGCGACAGATCGAGACCCCATCTCAAAATAAATACATACATACATACTACATACTATTCAAATGGTCTTGTCTTCCTCTGCACCACAGCATGGAGTAAACCACATTCCAAGATTTTTCTCTTTACTGGAGAACAGGATTAGGAGCCAACATCTGCACAGTGGCCACTGACCAATTGTCAGTGAGGATGGTGGAGGATGTCCCTTAACACCAAGAAATGTTGTTATAATATTGTTTTAATTGTTCTTATAAAGGTTTCCACCAGGTGCAGTGACTCATGCCTGTAATCCCAGCACTTTGGAGGCTGAGGCAGGAGGACTGCTTGAGCCCAGGGGTCCAAGACCAGCCTCCACACCACAGTGAGACTCCCATCTCTACAAATAAAAGAATTAGCCTGACATGGTGGCACACACCTGTAGTCTCAGTTCCTTGGGAGGCTGAGATGAGGGGATCGCTTGAGCCCAGGAGATTGAGGCTGCAGTGAGCCATGATGGCACTACTGCACTCCAGCCTGGGCGACAGAGCAAGATCCTGACAAAAAAAAAAGTTTCTATATTCCAACTTTGAATAGCTTGATCATTTTATCCTTTTTCTTCTGAGCTATGAGGCTCTTACCCATCTGTCATTTACATTCTCAAGAACACAAAAAATGCTAAATATCTTATCACCAAACTTTGCTTTTGAATTCTGATATTGTTTTGTCTTTCTCATAAGATAACTGAATGGAAATCTGTGTACCGTGACCCACCCACACAGAATCATCATACCTGAATTGCTATGGGTAAACAGGACAATGTCACACTCCAGATTGATGGGGGTGGGCGGGCGCGGTGGCTCATGCCTGGAATCCCAGCACTTTGGAAGTCGGAGGCTGGCGGATGACTTGAGCCCAGGAGTTCGAGACCAGCTTGGGGAACATGGTGAGGCTCCATCTCTACAAAAAATTTAATAATTAGGCCGGGCGCGGCGGCTCACGCCGGTAATCCCAGGGCTTTGGGAGGCCGAGGCGGGGGGGGGGGGGGATCATCTGAGGTCAGGAGTTCGAGACCAGCCTTGCCAACATGATGAAACCCCATTTCTACTAAAAATACAAAAATTAACTGGGTGTGGTGGCGGGCGCCTGTAATCACAGCTACTTAGGAGGATGATGCAGGAGAATCGCTTGAACCCGGGAGGCGGAGGTTGCTGCGCACTGAGATCGCACCACTGCACACCAGCCTAGGGCATAGAGGGGAAACTCCGACTCAAAAACAAATAAACAAATAAATAAAGTATAATAATTAGCCAGGAGTGGTGGCGAGCACCAGTAGTCCCAGTCACTTGGGGAGGCTGACACGGGAGAACTGCTTGAGCCCGGGAGGTCGAGGCTTCACTGAGCTGTGCTCGTGATACTGCACTGTAGCCTGGGCGCCAGAGTGAGACTCAGTCCCCAAAAAAGCCACCAGAAAAACAAAAAAACAAATTGGTAGGGAGGAGCGCCTCGGGGTCGCAACGAATCCTTAGATCCTCAGGCCAGGTGGGGGCGCCCACTGCGCCTGTGCAGTGCCGGGTCTCCTGGCTAGTCGAGGGCGGGGAGCAGCGGCGGCACCTGGGACACAGTGATTGGCTGCGACCAGGAAAGAGCGGGAAGAAG